GGTTGATAAAATTTATCACAAACGATCTAACCTCACTATAAGTCGTTTTATTTTCAGTATCATTTTTAAAACTGAAGAGGAATTAATGATGATACAATATACTTGATCATTATTCAAAAAAACGAAAAGAAATAATGAAATGGCCAGCGCCTACTCTTTAGCAATGGGTCAAATTTCATTTAAGTGTTTCTAAAGTTACGTTCCCACTCCAACCTTTCATATATCATATCTCATAGTGTGAAAAATGTCATATCTATTTTTGAATCTAAATAGCAGTATGCTAATCAAAGCAAAAATAATTTCTCCAATTTGATTTTCAATGACCCAAAAAACAAGAATATATTATTATTTTATCACACAAAACAAATAACAACTATATTGATTAACGATGAACTAACACGAAGATCTATAATGACGAAAGATCTGTTAGATTGCATTTCGATAAAAGAAAGTAAAAAAAAGTTCATTCGTGCCTTTGGTCAACGGATAATCAATTTAAACCCATGGCTATTACGTCACATGTACATAAAAGGTATGTGCGTATCCGTGAAGATGCAGAGTTAGATGGACATGAAGAATTTAAATAAAAAACAGGAGAGAGAGAGAGAAGAGAGAGAGAGAGAGAGAGAGAGAGAGAGAGAGAGAGAGAGAGAGAGAGAGAGAGAGAGAGAGAGAGAGAGGAGAGGAGAGAGAGAGAGAGAGGAGAGAGAGAGAGAGAGAGAGAGAGAGAGAAGAGAGAGAGAGGGAGAGAGGGAGAGAGGGAGAGAGAGAGAGAGAGAGAGAGAGAGAGAAGAGAGAGAGAGACAGAGAGAGAGAGAGAGAGAGAGAGAGAAGAGAAGAAGAGAGAGAGAGAGGAGAGAGAAGAGAGTGAGGGAGAGAAGAGAGAAGAGAGAGGGGAGAGAGAAGGAGAGGAGGAGAGAGGAGAGAGAGAGTAGAGAGAGGGAGAGAGAGAGAGAGAGAGAGAGAGAGAGAGAGAAGGAGGAGAGGAGAGAAAGAGAAGAGAGAGAGAGAGGAGAGAGAGAAGAGAGAGAGAGAGAGAGAAGAGAAGAGAGAGAGAGAGAGAGAGAAGAGAGAGAGGAGAGAGAGAGAGAGAGAGAGAGAGAGAGAGAGAGAGAGAGAGTGAGAGAGAGAGAAGAGAGAGAGAGAGAGAGTAGAAGAGGAGAGAGAAGAGAGAAGAGAGAGAGAGAGGAGAGGAGAGGAGGAGGAGAGAGAGGAGGGGAGAGAGAGAGAGAGAGAGAGAGAGGAGAAGAGAGAGAGAGAGGAGAGAGAGAGAGAGAGGGGAGAGAGAGAGAGAGAGAGAGAGGACGAGAGAGATGAGAGAGAGAAGAAGAAAGAGAGAGAGAGAAGACAGACAGCAAGACAGAGAGACAGAGAGACAGACAGAGACACAAGGAGAGAGAAGAGAGAGAAGAGAAGAGAAAGAGAGAAAGAAAGGGAAGGCGAGATGGAGAGAGGGATACGTACATACAAGTTCTTTGTAGTCCTTTCGTAAATACAGGAAAACAGAGGAGGTATAAACATCAATAATAAAATAATAATTACTAGGAGAATGAGAACATAAAATCACATAGACATGACATAGAGAAACTAAATACGTTAATATAAAACAACAGCAAGGTGATCATCTGATAAGAAAAATATAATCATAACTTTTACAAACACATTTGAAATAAAGTAGTAATAGTAGTAGTAGCAGCAGCAGTAGTAATACTAGTAGCAGTAGTAGTAGTAATTGTAGTAGCAGCAATAGCAATAGCAATCCATGCACTTGACTAATACTACTAATACTACTACAACTACTAGTACTACTACTACTACTACTACTACTACTACTACTACACTACTACTACACTACTACTACTACTACTACTACTACTACTACTACTACTACTTACTACTACAACTACTATACTACTACTACTACTTAACTACTACTACTACTACTTACTACTACTACTACTAACTACTACTACTACTACTACTACTAGTACTACTAACAACTACTACTACTACTACTACTACTAACTACTACTACTACTACTACTACTACTACTACTACTACTACTACTACTACTACTACTACTAACTACTACTACTACTACTACTACACTACAACTACTACTTACTACTACTACTACTAACTACTACTACTACTAAACTACTACTACTACTACTACTACTACTACTACTACTACCTACTACTACTTACTACTACTACTACTACTTACTACTACTACAACTACTACTACTACTACTACTACAACAACTACTACTAACTACTACTAACTACTACTACTACTCTACCACTACACCACCACACCACCACCACCACTACTACTACTACTACTACTATACTACTACTACTACCACTACTACTACCACTACCCACACCACCACCACCACCACCACCACTACTACTACTTACTACTACTACTAACTACTACTACCACCACCACTTACTACTACTACTACTACTACTACTAACTACTACTACCACCAC